CTAATTACATTCGATGAATGCCAAGAGGAGATCAGAAGCTCTGGACCAACTGAGTTGTTTAAGCAAGGGAACTAGATGCCACCATGAAGTCCCTCACCTAGGCGTCTGCTTTCAGTTTTAACCACAGTTTTGACATTTTTACAGAATTAAAAAATATCTCTCAACTCCTTTGAGCACCAGTAAATACCTTATCAAACCTTATATGCTAAAAAAATTGGCATGACATTTTAAAAATAAGTTTTATATCCCTTGCTTTTTCAAAAAAACTGTAATAAATGTTACATTTTAAGTTAGCTCCTCCATAAACGTATGATTCAGAATTAAAATGTATTATTAATAAAAGCATACATCTCTGTTCCTTAGAGATGACATGTGAATTCAAATATATACCTTTTAGAAACCATAATACTAAAAATCTAGGAGTAGAACTCTATGGATCAATTTCCTTAGATTACGTACAAATATTGGGAAACATTTTGATCTAACAACAGTGTTATAAAAGCTATTCTCAGGAACAAAAAAAAAAAGCATTAACTTCACAAACCAATTTGATGCCATATTGCTGCCATTAAAAGCATTTTGGAGAGTAATTTATGAGTTTCCCTGCCAATCATTCAGAGAACATTTTATACACTAAGTATTCATCAGATTTTGGGTTGATGTGAACAGCTGACGAAAAACAAACAACTGGTAATTCACAACATATAGTAATCTTGAAATAATGTTTCTTTCAAAAGCTATTGAAAATAATTATTGCTTATGAGTACATGTTCTCCAAGAATTTCTCATTGAGACTGAGACAGTAACCTGTATATCAGAATATGTAAAACTACAGTCGCTGCTCTTAGGAATTTGAACTCTAGTAAGCAACAGAAGAGACGAAAGAAAAGGAATATAATTAACAGGCTTATTTTTTGTATATGCATAAACAGTTCCAATAATGTACGTGCTTCAGTAAGATTCAAGTAACCACTCCTGCATTTCAAACTATTGCTATTCTTTCTCTGACACACAGGATACAAAAACAGGAGCCTCTGCACCTTAAGAAATGATTCAACACAAGAACAGCCTTATGAGTCAAGTTTGGAGTGCATCCTTGTAGAAGATGTTTGTGAGGGAAACTGGAGAGCAAGGGAAATAAAATTAACATGGCATAAGGAGAGTTTATGCGAAGAGTACTTACTAACGTGGGAAACAGGCAAGAACAAAAGGTCCTTGTAGCTGTTTTACATGATCAATGATGTTATTGAGGTGGCACAAGAAAAAGAATTACATAGCACAGTGAACACGATTCTCATTATCAGGACAAAGAGAAAAGGACTGAGGATAAGGAAAACTGGTATCTTAGAATCCAGATTTAAGTGGTGAATACAGAGAAAAAAAGTCATAAGATTCTTGCTCCCCATACCCCCTTCTTTTCTGGGAACAGCAGGACTTCTGTTTCAGTTAGGCTAAGTCAAAATAATTTAATGCTGCTCCTAGACGGAAAGAAGTGGGCTGAAAATGCTATAATGGGAAGCAGAATACTAAAAATTAAGTGCCACCATAAACAAGACTCATTTGAGGCAATGACCACAGGAAAGCCATAACATGCATTTATTTTTTTGTCACTGGAACATTACAAAAACAGTACAGGCGTTTACAGGAAACTAATCTTGCCATTAGAGCTGTGTGGAGTCATCAAACACAATGCACAAGTCACCAAACGCATTGCACTGACAGATTCGGGCAAACCAATTTGTCAAAAGAGGACTTGGGATCCCACAAGCCAGTTAACTTTTTACCCACCTCTTCCTATGCTTCAAGGAATGACCTCATTTATGAAAGGTCTGCTCTCTGCTACGGTGCCCCATGAGGAACCCTGACAGGAGAGCCCTTGACAATAACCTACAGAGAACTTCCCAGGCTTCAGATAGTTCCAAGTCTAAATAATTTATGACTTGGTTTTCCTTCTCATACTTTTCTGGTTCCATTAGTAAATATCTGTTTTGAATCATTCATTTTAATCATTTTATCAGGTGGTATGAGATTGGAAAAAGATTGTATTTATACATACTTATGTCTTGTTGGTAACATTTTAACTGAAAACCAAAAATGTATTATGAAGATAAATATATTGAAAAAATGGAGAAGAGAACATATTCATTCTACACTTTTGTAACTTTTAGGAAAATATACGTGGCACAATTCCTTCAATGGGACGCAGAGAATTTCCTTAGCTTGCCAGGTAATTAACATTAATGTTTTGAACTATTTGATGGCAAATTCTCTTGAGGTGATAAAATCATAATGAAGCAATTACAAATGACAATTACACAAGGCAATACTGAATTCAAACTTTTTTGTTATCTAATAGTAGCTATTACTTTCTTAATTTGACTGATGCTTTCACTAAGCCATCAATGGATTCAATGGCTATGTACACTAACTGTATGACAGTTTCAGTGTTAAGAAAAATAATTTGAGTATTATAACTCCACTTGATTATTTTTAAATCAAGTACAGCAGAAAAATAGCTAGTAATGGTGGTTTTCTTTCATTTATACTGTCTTACATTTTACACGCCTGCTTTCAGACAAAGTTTTTAAGTATTACTTTTTCTATGAAGAAATTCAGCTGTGCCTGACTGGAAATACTATGTTAAGGCCTCCTAACCACCATCCATGGGTAGAACAAGATGATTGTTATTTTGGCATGACTCAGGACAAAAGGACAGTTTCTTGCACATAGCAGCCTCAGAGAGCAAAGACTTGGGAAGAATCTTAAATGTAGCCCCAAACAAATCACTTACTCGAACAGCACAAGAAGTAACTCCTGTTCAATAGGAATATATCTTCATTAATTCACCAGTTTACGTTTCAAAAAGCAACACTACCAACTCCATGTTAGCCGACTGTTTCTCTAAATAAAGAACGTAGGGTTGTCGTGAATTACTAGAGATACTTCTGTCACTTGGTAAACCAAGAATGCTAGAGAGCCACTGAAGGCCTATTCCAAGGAAACGTAATGATCAAAATTTGTTGTCATTTTAATGTCACAATAAAGACCTACTCCTCATTTCACCCCAAGATATTGTTTACTTGGTTAAATTTATATTTACCACTTTGTGTGAAGTTTATTATGAAAACACTGCACCAGATTATTGACCCTGGGAAAACTAAAACAATAATAAGTTATTTCAGCCTTGAAATAAAGGTCTCACGATCTTGGAGATATTACTTATTACTTGCAACTTGCTGGATGCTATTCACGATCAAATATCTCCAAATCTACTTTAAAGCAGCAGGTGGTGTGCCTGCACAGAAATCAATGATATTACACTGCTGCAAAACCAGATTAATGGAATACTGAATCAATAAAACCCAATGACAGACGTAGTTTATCTTCCTGTCTTCATTAGATCACCATTTAAAAATCCTGTAGAAATTTTGGAAGAAAACAAAAAGGCTAGATAGAATTTTAGACCAAACTATGATTTATCTTTTTTTTTTTTTTTTTTTTTCTTTCTGGAAGGAAATAACATTAGCAGCACTGGAGTATGTTCAATTTAAGCTACATTTGTGATGACTGCATACACTGGTGATTTTTCAACTATTTTTTTTTTTCAGTTTGCAATGCTCCCAGTTTTCCAGCAAAGATGCAGATACCTGTATAATACCTTGCCTTTCTGTCTTCCATTTCTGCATCTCTTAAATTAATCCACATACCCCTTGAAGATGAATACCATTCATGTTGGTAATACCCAATTTTACACTCTTGTCTTTTCACTTTAATATGCAGCCCTATATAAGGACCAAAAGATAATTTACATTTTGGTAATGAAAATCATAAATCATATGCGTCTTTTTCTCTGATGTTAGAAAGAGATCATGTAATATCAGCATCTGCTTTTACAAGTTAAAGGACACTTTCCTTAGTTGAATACAGCTCCCTAGAGTTCACTAATTGCAAGCATCCAATATATTTTAATGAGCTACACAACTGATTTAAGAGACATAACAAGGACATAGCAAAATTAGCATCTTACTACATGTATGATACATGATAAACCTAGATTCATTTTCATGACTGAAGTCAAAACATAAAAACAGATTCATAAATCACACTGCTGGAAGGGACTACTTAGATCCAAGTTAGGTTTTTGGTATGTCACAAATCACAAATTTCCCTGAATTAATTCCTGTACTAATCAAAATACAGTATGAGCTTGTAAAATATACTCATTACGCAAAATGACAAATAAAATTAGTCATTAATCTTAATTTCATATTTTGCAATAGTACTGCCTAAAGTCAGACTGAACCATGCGCAGGATACTGCGCAGCTTGTGTCTGCATGTAAGAAACTAGCTGGGAAACCGTTGGCAAAGAAAATATTGTAACATCTGAGTAGAAGTCCATAAAACTTTATACATGTTGTAAAACAAGTCTGCAGTATGGAAAGTCAATTTATAATGACCTAAGAGTTCCTTCTTGCTTTGAATTAAAATGTGAGTAAGTACTACAGCACAAGACCAATCAATCAACTGAGGTTATAAATAATACTCCTGAAAGTGCTGCACAGGAGAAAAGACTATGAATGAAGAAATACTGTATCACAGGGAATATACAGTGTTGGCTTTGGAATCAATTGCTATAAAACAAATATCAACTTTCCGCTATGTAAACAATCAACACCAAAATTCCATTTTAAGAAGTCTAATAAAATACTCTTTATTGGAACTGTCTTCCAGTTTTGTCATCCTTTCTAGAATATGCACAGATGGAAAGATAGCTGATTTATATGCACAAATATAAATTGGCTCATAATATATAAATTCTGATAAAAATAATTATTCCAGCAATTTATTATAATATTTTAAAATTAGTTTTTAAAGAGACATTTTATGAATAGTAGTGCTCTGTTTGCATGCTGAATAGAGCAGTATTATTACAGTAATATGATAAATATTTAATCACAGTCCCAATTCTGCAATCCATTTTGTCCTACTTCAACATCCAATTGTCACAGTTATTTTACATATAATTTTAGTTGCACAAACTTATAGCTTGTATTACTTTTTTTTACACGTATGAATTTCATTCCTGTGTTCATCACACATTTTTAAATGCAAAGAGAAAAACTAAAATGAATGAAGAATTGATACTAATGCTTGGCACCAGACTATCGACAGCATTTAAAATTAGAAACAAGCATAACTTTGAAAATGGGCTGAAATCCTCAGTCTTCTCTGTTCAATTTCATTTCCATGAATTGATCTGTATAATCTGACAGTTGCAAAATTTTTCACTTATACTTTTTTTTTTTTACATTAATGAGTACATAGGAATGAGTACACATTAAATACCACTTACTTTGGCAATACTAGAATCTGCACAACAAAAATGCAGAAGAATATGAGACAGGCACAAGTCACATAATACTTAAATGCAGGCAGAGTAGTTGCTCGATACTAGAAGAAAAAAAAGCAAATGTTAAAAACACAATTTCCAAAGCAGATAAAATATCATGCAACTGAAATTTCAGCTTAAAGATGCAGATATGTATAGGCAATCTGTAGCAACAGTAAATTTCCTGTTGTTCAATGACTTCCACATCCACTCACATAGGGCTAGGGATTATCAGGCAGAGTATTGAATCCTTTTACTTCTTGAGGAACAGCTGAAGTAGCCATGTCAAATGGTTTTGTCTTGTTCCTCCACCAAACAGGACTATCCCAAATTAATCATAAAAAATTTAACTTTAAAAAAAAAAGTGAAAGTATTTTAAAAAATATTTTTAGGAATGGCCAACGATTCTCAGCCAATTCTAAGTTTGTCACTCATTACTTCCCCAAACCGATTTTCAATTATTAATACTGAATGGGCTGAAACAATTATAAAGACAGTTAACAGTCATTTAGACAGGAAATTTCTGAGCACACAAAGCAGAAGAGTGTAAACTCTGCTACAGATGTGTATAAACATTCTATTTCCAACAGTATAGCTAGCAATCATACTAATATTTACTGGTGCTGTATTATTATTTCAATTAAAATATTTTATGTCTGCGTTAAAATGCCTGATATGTCCACTGATACTACCAAACACTTGATATTCTCAGGAGAGAGTAAATTTGATCTGTTTTGTTATGAAAAAAGATCTATTTATAAATTTCTAATTAGGCTGTCTAGAGACATAAGAATTAAGCAATGAAATATTTATCAGAGTTATTCTGCTATTTGAGATCTAGATTGAAATCAATTAAGTACTCGAAAGGAAATGACCTAAGTATTGGGCCTATTAAAGTTACTTACCCTATTGAAGTTTTTTCAAAGGGTCAGAGTTTAAGATTTGATTATTAAAAGAAAATGTACCAAGGATTATTTTCACAAAGTGCTCAAAATGCAAACTTCCTAAAATGGAAAAGACATGAGGTGTGCTTTCTAACTGCAAGTATACAGCTGTGTCTTTGTGCTTTGTGTCAAGTTCTGCCCTTGAAACTGCTGTACCAAACTTTACATGAAAATTGAGTTTAGCAACCCAACAACTTTTTTCACTTTTGAATTCTATGACAAATTAAAAGCAATTCTTATCATATACCTAACTGAATTTCAAGGTACAAAAATTACTTTGCTTGATGGGTACGTTTGCAGCAAGTTTTGTTCTTCCAGCTGTTGAATATGTTTGTTGTTTCTTAATGTCTCATCCAACAATCTTGGACCCTGAGCTGCTGTCAAAATCTCAAAAAATTCCAACCCACTTGTAAATTCATTTCAGTGTTTCACACTTCTCCAGATATTTCCCAATGAAGTCAGGCAACTCACTCGTTAGGTTAAATAATGATTTTCCTTTATTACCTTGCTGTACTTTCAGGTCCTACAGGTCCTGAAAAGCTCCTGTTTAAATCAAAAACAGGCTTCTTACTGAGTTCTTTAAAGTCAAGATTGGACTGGTGAGTCATTAAAAGGCAGTGAAGAAAGGTATTAAAAACCTGGATCCGAAAAGAAAAATTAGGTCTGCGCTGTTCCATAGCATTCTACAGTCTAAAAGAGATTAGACTTCTACAGGGAGCATCTGCACAGCCGAGTAACTTAGCTCCCTGATTTTCTCCCAAGTTCTGACTCCCTGATTGTCCAAAGTACACATATGATGGTTTTCTCTTAATTTCTCTTTCAGAGTTTATCAGTTAGTACCACCTACATTAAAATCCGAATCTACTCCTATTCACATCTTTGATCCACTCAGTGTATGCTTTAAACACTATGGATGAGACCACACCAGGTCTAGCTTTTCTCTTGTGTCATCTTCTAAACAGGCTCAACAAGCCTTGAATCTTTTTTCATCCTAATGCATTGTCAAGGGCATACAACACATGCCTTTGGCAGGTGGCCATAAGAATGCTATTCTGCTGAGCTGTGGAAGAATCTGAAAATTATTTCAGATGCTTTGAACTGAAAGATATCTATAAAAATAATTAAATATTTATTTGACCACCATATGGGACCCAGAAGATACTTGCACCTATGCTGTACAGTGTGAACACGGTATGGTAATACTTCCTGTGTGCCTTTCTCATCAGGTTCACTCATTTATACAGCCAGCTGTGGTCAAATCTACCTCTTACTTCCCTAAAGGTCAGCATAACTGTTCAGCTATCAGTTGCCCTATGTTTATGAGAAAGCAGAGAGAGGCAACTCTCCAGTCTTCCTGCT